ATAGATTATTAATATTGGGCATGAGTTTTTTTTTTAACATGAATTTTTTAAACATGTTTCAATTGCCTAATATATGCCAGAGGCCATGCTAGGTATTGGAAGAGTTAAACAGACTTGATTTTGTATTCCACCTCAGCAATTTATGGGCTAAAAGACCCTGGACAAGTTGCCCAACCTCTTTCATCCTCAAATTCTCCATCTATATAATGGCGATAATTGTGTACCTCCCAAGATTAAAATAATATAAAGGGTGTTTGTTTTTTTTTAGCATATTACCTGGAACTTAAAAAAATGATAGCGGGGAACTACATATGGCACATTTTTTGCCATTGAAGATTTACAAATCTAGTTAGACAAACAGATATATTAAATGAATTGTACTTGTGAGAGGCAATTATAATCCATTCCAGCATTGCTCATGGTTTACTATGTATCCTACAATGAATTTCTTTAAAAACATTTTTAAAAATATTTCTTTGGTCAAATAAATATGGGTAATGATGAATATTTTGAGAGTCACAATGTATATTATTCTCTTCAAGAATCTGAGATGTTCTTGGCATAGCCTTGCCTTCTGTGGTGAACTCAGAGTATTTATTACTTATGAATTCTACTTGCTATCATTCTCAGCTCTCTGCCCTCTTACATTTAAAGGTACCCCCATAACATGGATTCAGACCTTTAATGTTTAGTCTCACAATAGTTGTCAAATTTGCCTGTCTACTTTTTCTTGTAATATAAAAATCTATATTTAAAAGTACCCCAGGATTGCCGATTCTGTTCACTTAAAAGTATAGTTATAGATTCTTTTTTTTTTAATGTTTATTTACTCTTGAGAGAGAGAGAGAGAGAGAGCAACAGAGCATGAGGAGGGGAGGGGCAGAGAGAGGGGGAGACACAGAATCTGAAGCAGGTTCCAGGCTCCGAGCTGTCAGCACAGAGCCGGATGCAGGGCTGGAACCCACGAACTGCAAGATCATGACCTGAGCTGAAGCTGGACGCTTTACCGACTGAGCCACCCAGGCACCCCTGGGTTCTAATTAATGTTACACTATTTTAAAATAGAAACTGCATTGCTTTATATAACAAAACCAGTCCAGTTATAACTATTTCCGTTAAAAGAAATTAGCTGTGAAGCCAAAATTATTTAAATCTCATGTTATAAACAGTTTGTTTTTTTCCAGTATTTTGAGTTTGAAGTCTTAGAACAGATTGAAGTATAGTTTTAACCTTTGGGTTTTATTTAATTTTTTAATTTCAAGTTTGTTCAGGCTTTAGTACCTTTCCTCTTTTACTAGTTGAAATAATTTATGCAAATTTTTCTTGCTTCCTTTATGACTGAGCTTTCTGCAAAGGTTATTTCTGTCTCTTTGTGGTCAGGTCATTATCTCAGGGTAATTTTTCCCTCCCATGTTTTTTTGGGGAGGAAGGAACTGCCCACCACTCATAATTATGGACCCAGATTCATCAGAACTTTTTAAATTCCAGCAAGAGGCACTCTTGTGTAGTCATACCCTTATTGATGTGCCTTCTTAGGGGTTTCTTTTCTTTTTTTCTTTTTTATGTTGTGTTAGATGCCTTTTGAACTGTCTTTTTTTTTTTTTTTTTAAACTGAAGTGTGATTATTAGTTTCAGGTATACAGTGTAGTGATAAAATCACTCTATACTTAGGCTGTGCTCACCACAAGTGTAGCTACCATCTGTTACCACACAGGCTATTACAATACCATTAACTGTATTCCCTATGCTGTCTGTACCTTTCATCCCTATTAGTTACTTATTCCATAACTAGAAGCCTGTACTTCCCACTCCCCTTCACCCATTTTGCCCATCCTCTCACCACTTGGGGGTTTCTTTTTTACTGAATCATTTTTTATGGTCAGAAACTTTATTTAATGTTAAGTGCTCTTTTCCTCAGCAAGGTTTTCTGAAGCAGCTAATAGCTGCACCAGTTATCTTTGGGAAACCACACAACCTACCTACCTTTATCATAGTGCTGACATTTTGGTGTCTTTGTTTTTTTTTTTTAATTTTTTTTTAACATTTATTCATTTTTGAGAGTGAGAGAGACAGAGTGTGAGTGGGGGAAGGGCAGAGAGAGAGGGAGACACAGAATCTGAAGCAGGCTCCATGCTCTGAGCTGTCAGAACAGAGCCTGACGCGGGGCTCGAACTCACGGACAGGGAGATCATGACCTGAGCTGAAGTTGGACGCTTAACCAACTGAGCCACCCAGGCCCCAATATTTTGGTGTCTTAATTATACTTGTTTCACTTTGTAGGGGAAGAAAAAAATGTTTCCTCTACCTGTCTTAGGTTCATTCCCTGGGGCTCTGAAAATTAGACTGACAAAAAAGGAAAACAAAACAGATTAACAAGAGAAAAACAGTTTATTAATGTGTGCAGTACACATCCTGCAGAAGAAACCTCACATAATGAGTAACTCCAATGAGTGGTTTGGGCTTGGGTAGCATCTTAACAAAGAATAATAAATTCATAGAGAGGTGACAGGTAAAAACAAAAGGGGTTTTAGGCTTCCAACATCAGGAAATTATGGGAAGGTAAATATATTTGGAAAACTAATAGCATATGTGGGTTATTTGTCTAGATCCATCTTGGCACCAACTTTCCATCTTCTTCATGGCCATAAAACTTCTTTGGGAGGGGGGATTTATAGCAGTCTTCATTTCTGAGAGGCTTCTGCTTTTAGTTTGATAAAGTATGCTCTGGGAAGACTCTTTCTGCACTGGCAGATTCTCATTTGCCTCTCTCTCATTTGCCTGCTCAAAATTAATCTTTATGCCAAAGTAGCATATTCTGCTACCTTTCAACTTCTTGAAATTGAGCTTCTGAAGGGCAGAAATATTATCTATTCTCTGTTTGCCTGAGTTGCAGTATCAAGCAGACAGCAATCACTCTTTATAAATATTTGTTGAGTTAATGAACAGAGCCTATCAACTATTTTGGCCATGAACTCAATATGGTGTTCCCCTAGTTCATACTTACTATTCTGCAAAAGAGGAATTCCTAGAGAATTCCTGATATTTTGGCAGTAGATCATTTGGTCACTCTTTGATGGTAAAGATTCATGTTGATTAAATGTAGATCATGGAATGTACTTATATAAATTATCTTGCAAATATATCTGATCAGTCATTTCATTTATAGAAGTGCAGTACAGTTGTCAGATGGTCAAATGCCTATTCTTTCTTACAAAGAAACCAGGTAAATGAGTACTCAAATTTTTTAGTGATTAAAGGAACTCCTAACTAGAACTACAGAGTAAGTAGCTACTAGTAACTAACTAGAATGTTCCTAAGTGGGAGGAAAACATTCAAATTCAAAATCACATTAATTCCTAATAAATGTTTTCAAACATGAATAAAGCATGTGAATCCAGAAACACATATTTATCATTTGTCATTTCAATCACTGAACCTCACTTTTCTACTATATTTCTGTGTTTTATTTCTGCACACACCATAATCTTTTCATTTTTGCCATATTTTATAGCCTGTATGCTTAAGCTTTTACCCAGACACAGTTTTCTGACAGATTAAATTTCCTAGCAATTCAGTTTTAATGATTACTAGGTTTCTCATACTAATAGTAAATTTAAAATAATAATGCAATGTTAAAGATGATAATCTATAAACAATTAGACAGTTTAAAAGGAGATTTTGTTTAGGGACAGTTGTTCTCTTTTATCCTCCGTAAGTAGGTAAAGGGCAAAACGTCCTTACTTATATGCTGTGTACAACCCACAATTTTTCAGGGAGAGTTCTATAGGAGAGGCAAGTTTACATCAGCATTGTTTGAGAACGTAAAGACCCCTTACCTCATTTCCAAATTTTGGAAAGAGGAAAAGACACTTAGAAACTATTTAGCTAACCCTACATCCTCTCTAGAACCCCTTCTCCTTTTGGCACACATGAACTTGAGGTCTTCTCTACCTTTCTTAATAGGGTAATAAGAAAGACATTTTGAAACAGACCTTTGACTCTTGACAAAGTGTACAACTAGAAAAAACCCTTAAGTTGTAATTGGTAGCAGTTAGGGAATACTAAGAAAATAAGCAAAAATCACACACAAAAAATTTTATCAGAATAATTTTGTGAGTTTTCCTCTTCTGTTTTAAGAGATTTTTAAATTGCTTTATTCTTGTTTTTCCTTTTCCAAAAGAAACTGAATTAAAAACCATTATAACTCTCAATAACTATACCATTTTGAAGTCTGCCTGTCTACAAAGCTATAGCCAAGGTACCTCATTTCTGGAAAAAGAATCTAAGAACAAATGCTTTTGAGTGAGGCACAAGCAAATTAAGTCTATAGAAGTAAAATAAATAATGTATTCGTCTCTTCTTAATCCTTTTTTGATTTCTCTTTCTGTGGGTATCTGGAAGCATTTTGAGTATATTTATTATAGGTTAATACTTGTGATCTCCTTGCATAGTGATATAGGAAGCAAACTGGACAGAAATGGCTAAGGACAAATTTTGGTGAATAAAAGCAGATAATATACAAATACTAATTAAGTATTTGTGGCCACATGAAAATTTCATAATTGGTTCTAATAATAAATGTTATTAGTCAATAATTGAGAAATAGATAAACATGAAGAAAATAAAAATCATTCATAATCATTTCGTGCAGTTAAAATTGCTATTGAATTTTTTTTAATATATGTAATATGTATTTTTAACACAATTTGGAATGTTTTCTATATCCTGATTTTATTTTTACTTGAAATTAGATTTGGGTCTTTTCCCAAGTTGCTAAATTTGGAAAATTTTGAATTTTTTATTTTTTTATTCATAGAATCCTGTTCGGTGAATGAGCCAGTAATTTATCCAGTTCCCTATTGTTTTCAACTTGTTACAGTTGTAATAAGGCTGCATATATATAATTACTAGTGAGGTTAAACATTTTTTCATATACTTCTTAAATGGGTGTATCATTTATGAAAAAATTATGTATAAGGTACTTATTGTTTCTGTCACAGATCTAAACGAAGCAAGATCTTACTAAAGCTAAAAAGGCAGAAGGAAGAAGAGGATCGCAGATTACAGTTGCACATTCAAAGACAGAGAGCCATGAGACTGTCCCGAGAATTACGGCTGAGTATGCTTGAAATAGTTCATCCAGGTGTGTGGCAATGTCAATTTTCTAAGTGTAAAAATATTTAAAGCATCTTTTAATGAGCCAGATTTCCCACTACCTGATTTTTTTTTTTTTCTTTTAATTTGGACTGTTTCCCTGTTTCTCCCTTTTCCAGGTAAACCTTGTTAAATCTCGAGTCAAAAAAAAAGTTACTATTTTTTCTGATTAAGGCCTATTATTGATGATGAGCAGTCTCTCAACTAGTTTTCGTATCTTTTGGATAAATTAGTGAAACATAAAAATATGTGATAGCTTTAAAGATAGCTTTCAGAGACATAGAGAAAGAATCCCCTTGACCCTAAGTAAGGAGTTTGAATATTGCTACATTCTGGCATCTGAACTTTACTCATACACCAGTATAAACCTTGTGACATCTTACCACCTTTGATACACTAAACTGAGATTAATATTACAGTCTGGGAATTGGAATGGTTTTAAGATTGTTTTTGTTCTTCCCCTTCCCCTCCTACCACTCACTCCCAGTGTTCTCCACTACCCTCTTATTTCTCATTTTTTCCCTTAAATATAAATGTTTCATAGTGTTCCATCTTTACTCCTCACTCTCATGTTGCTCTTTCTGCAGTATCTTATCCGTAACTATAGCTTCAACTACCAGCTGAGTGAACATTCAAATCTTGTTTGCATCTTCACCCTCCCAAGCTCTAAACCAGCACTTCCTAATAAACCTTTTTACAAAATGAAATGTTCTTTATTTGCACTGTTTAATATGGTTCCCACTGGCTAGACATGACCATTGAGTACTTGAAATATGGTTAGTGCATGCAAGCACATGAATCTTTAATTTCGCTTTATTTAAAGTAGCTATTTGTGGTTAGTGTCAACTATATTGGACTGCACAGCTCTGTAGCCAGTTCTCTATTGGATAGCTTTACTTAGATATCCGCAGGCATCCTAAAACTAGTCATTATCTCCCCACTTCCCCCACCAATTTCCTCTCCCTGTATTCCCCTTCTCAGATAATGGCACCAACAATCCACTCAATTTCCCATCTGTGAGACGCCCTAGAGTTCTTTCTCTTTCTCACATGCAACGAGTCTGAGAAAGAAAAAAAAAAGTCATCTGTAGATAAGAGAAATTTAGAAGTACACAGAGTAGTTAATATATACACATTTTGCCTTTTCCCTCTCGTGGTATGGATTGAATTCCTACTATGTACTTGGGATTCTTTTTTCTAAATATTCTTACTATTGGATTATTAATATTAACCCTTTTCTCATTACTTTGCCACAAAAAAATTATATGAATCTTTTCTCTAAAAGAAGCGACATAATCTGAGAAAGGTTTTGGAGGTTTTTTTTTTCCTACTATGTTAGAACTACTGTAAAATAATAAAATTGGGGAAATTAATGAACAATATTTAAAGAAACAAATAAAAAGACTGTAAGATTGTTGTTATTATCATTGTCCTGATTCCAGAACTTGAGAAAGCATAGTAGTTGAGTATGTTGTAATAGTGTGTGTCATCTTTCTAGGTCAGGTGGAAAAACATAATCGGGAAATAGAAGAGAAATCAGCATTGATTATCCAGAAACACTGGAGAGGGTACAGGGAAAGGAAAATTTTTCGCCAACAGAGGCCATCTCTCACGGAGTATAAAGCAGCTGTCACACTTCAGAGAGCAGTGAGTCTAATGTAGTAAAAAGATTACTGGATTAGGAGGCAAAAACATGGATTCAAACCTGACCTTGGATATACCTGCTGTAAAGTCTAGTCACGGAGCTTTTCTGAGTCTTAGTTTCTTCCTCTATAAAATAAGAACCTCTTTACCACTGGACAAACTGATTTAGACACCCAGTCCTTAGTACTTCCATTGAACCTTGAACATCATTTATCATACTGCAGTGTTATTTATTTGTTTTTTTTTTTTTCTTTCTTGGCCTGTGACTTCCTGAAGGGTAAGGAACTCTTATTTATTGTTGTCAGCCTTCAGCATGTGCTTGGTATATAGATGTTTACCGTACCTTTTTCGCTTAATTGTTATGTGAGTCAGATGACCTGATTTTTGGGAAAGTATTTTATAAAGTGCAAAGCCTGTACCAGTTCAGCACATCATATTTTATTTTTTTAATGTGCAGATAATATATTAGATATAATTGGATCACTGTAATTCTTGAATTATAGAATGGTGTTCTTAATTGATAATTTTCCTGAGATTTATCTGGAGCATAGTAATATTTTATTGCCTTGGAAAAGTATAGCAAACAGGCTATTTATTTCATTCAGTGACCAGTTTTCCTAACATCTGTTATTTGCTTATACCTGTTAACTTTCAGGTCTATAGGATTTCGGGTCTATAGCAGTTATCTTTATGATACTTTATTGTTGAATTTTAGGTTAATTTCAGTTTTTTACAGTGATAAATTTTGAATAGTCTCTTTGTTAATTCTCCATGATTAACTTCTTACAAAGATAATTAAAAACCACTCTTTAAAAAATAGGAAAGAGTAAGTACTAAAAAAAATAGGAAAAAGTAAGTAAGTAAGGAAAGAGAAGTAGGTAGATTTCTGTTGCCCCCTTCTTCCTCAGACTTTTTGGGTGATGTCAGGCTCTGTCTGCAACAAACAATCCTATACCATCACCAAACAACACTCACACCTGCTTTTTACCCTCTGCTACATAAGGCCATCTAAGAACCTATGGATATCCATGTTGGAGATACTTCTTTTAGGGGAGGAACACTTGGGTGCTTTCTAGTACTTTTTATCTCATGGCTTCCTCCTTTTTAAATTCTTTTCTGTCAGAGAATCAACTAGGACCTTATGAAATTGAATTACTACTTTGACAATTTAGATAAGCCCAATATTTTATAAAAGGATCCTGTACTCTAAAATGAGGTACCCCAGTTTGTCCACCGTTCCTTAAAGAAAGAAGCACAGAGGTCGTTATAGAGGAGGATATCTGACAGCTATGAAGGCAAAGTCATTTTGGCTTTCACAATTTTTTTTTTTGGCATAAAAGGAAAAAGATTAGTCATATCTGCCTCATGTCTCCCCCACCCAAAAGAAGGAATACAGGTCTCCATTGTAAGACAAAAAGGGATGGGTCAAGGTCATGTTTTGTTCTTTGCAGCTCACTACTAGAAATAATGGTGAAGTCAAAGCAAAGCTAGCCAAAAATAGAAAAGGTAGGAAGAGAATTCCTTTCAAAGAGGGAAAAGAGAAACAAATCATTATGAAGTACAGAGAGGGAAATGAAAGTAGTAGAGAAAATTAGGATAAGGCAATCAGTGGTCAGTAAACAACACATTTCACTACATTTCAAAGCATCCTTTTTTTAAGACATACTAAAGACCTGTGTATAGACTATGTCCAATACAGTACCCACTAACTACATGTGAGTACTGAGCACTTGACATGCAGCTAGTCAAAATTTGCATGTGCCATAAGTGTAAAATACCACATTTTGAAGACTTAGTATGAGAGTGTAAAATACTTCACATACTTGAAAGAGTTTTAAGATACAGAAAGGCTGAAAGCCTCACATTGGTTGATGAGCCATTGAGCTTCATTTTAGTCTCCTTCCTCATGGTTTGGGAGCAAAACGCTAGAAAAAAAAAATTTAAAAAAAAAAAATAAAAAAAAATAATTTTTATATTGAATATATGTTGAAGTGCCAATATCTTTTACATATATTGAGTTATATATAGTATGTTTATATAGCTCAGTATTTGCAAAATATTAATTTTGACTGTTCCTTTTACTTTTTTTTTTTTTTTTTCCAACGTCTATCCATTTTTGGGACAGAGAGAGAGAGCATGAACGGGGGAGGGACAGAGAGAGGGAGACACAGAATCGAAAAGGCTTATGGTTCGCTTGAGCTTATCAGCCTTCAGCTGGACGGCCAACTCACAGACCCGAGATCTGGACCTGGCTGAAGTCGGATGCTTATATCTAACTCATCCCAGGCCCCTTCTTTTTTACTTTTTTTTTTATATGGCTACTAGAAAGTTTAAAATTACATATATGACTTCCATTATATTTTTATTAGCACTACTATTGATCTTAGTAAGAAAAAAAGGAATAATTAATTAGTTTCACTGAAAGTAGTAGGAATATCATTTCCTTGAACTTGTCCTTTGGGAGGAGCTGCTTTTTAGTGTTTTTGGCAGGAAAAGGCCAGAACTATGTTTTGCCTTTCTCCCTTCCTTATTTTTTTGCAAAGGAGAGGCATTGTTTCTCATGTAATTAGAAATTGAAAAAACCCTATGTAAACTTGCTAATTTCAAATTACACATTTTTAACCCAGATAATAAGTGGGAGTTCTTTGTAGTGGTATAGTGTTGAAATTAAGTTTGAAGAGTTAGCTGCATTTTCCCTTTTAACAGCTCCATGATTTTCTTCTCTTGCTTTCTCATCTCTTAAGAAAGTTAGAAGGAAGGTGATGGTTGATGGTGTCTGGTCTCTAGAGCCAGAATGATAGTAGTGCTTGCTACTTAATTATAGCAGAAAAGTACTTTGCACTATTATACAAATCCATCACAGACTGACCACAAAAACACTTAGAGAAACCCTTAGCAGTTGAGAAAATAAATAAAAACTGGAAAATAAATAACAATTTCAGAGAGTCCTCAAGTGGCAAAGAATGAAGAAATAAAAGGTTAAGGTGGGCTTTTTTGATCTAGGGACAGAAATTCCTCTGTTCTGGTACCTTTACTCTGATGTTCCCAGCTAATAGCAGGAGGTAGAAGAGAGAGAGAAGGAGAAGCAAGGAAGAAGAATCAAGTAAAGGGAACAATACAAGGGAGAGGGTCTCTTAACAGGAGGATGCAAGCACAGTTGAAGGCTCCAGTAACATACTAAAAACAGGGATATTAGGAAAATTTTATATAGTGAGTGAGAATACTTCCAGCTCTGTTCACCACGCCCTCAGGTCCCTGTGTGCCATCAGCCAGGCTTATCTCTTGCAAACAGTAGATTGAGAATATTTTCTTTGGGAAATCTGAGAAGAGTTACAAGTATGCTCACGATGGGGTACTCCACAAAGAAACAGCCCAGTTCAGTAGTTTTATATTAAAATACACAGTAGATAAGGCCTACCCACCAGCCCAGAATTTCTAACAACTTCTTAGTTTTCACTCTTAAATATCAGCTCAAAGTGTCACTGAATATTTGAGGAAAGCTGAAGCCGTAAAACAAACAATAAAACTACTTGGTGGAAATAGAGATATTGCAGGGATAAGAAGACTTTTTAAAAATCTGGTAATTCCTCAGAGCTAAGAGAAGATAATGCATGAAACAAAACCAGGGTGCTATATAAAGAGGAACAAATAGAAGAAAAATTGGCAGAAGAAAAAATGAAAGACATAATAAAAAGACTAGGGGGAAAAATTAGGAAATCCAGAGAGCAGGGCAAAAAGAAAAGAAAACCAGTCCAGGAAGTCAAATATTCAAACATTTGAAACAAAGAACAGAAAAAAACCTGAGGAGAGGAAATCAAATAATTCAGTATTTCCCAGAACTCAGTGTCATTAGTTTTAGATTAAAAGGGCTAACTAAATGTCTAAAACAAGGACAGAAATACACCCACATTTATTTTACATTACTGTGAACTACACTGGGGACACACATACTTCTCAGTAGCAACATTGGAAGCTAAAATATATTGGAGTAAGGCTGTTACATTTTGGAGGGAAAGGGATTTCCTACTAGAATTCTATATCATCTGCACCATCAGTTAAAGATAAGGGTAAACTAAAGAATTTTCACGTATCACAAAGTCTCTAAAACAAGAAAAAAGACAATGTGGAATATAGTAAAGATGAAAAGGAGTCGCTAAGATGATGGTGAATGGAGATCTCAGGATGACATGCATCAGGCATAGAGAACAGTCAATCCAGTTTTGAGCAGGTCAGAAAGTTCCAGAAAATGTATATCCCAGAAAACAAATTTGATAGAATGCCTGATATGTTTTAATGTATTAAGTAAGCATTAGGACAGAGTTTAGATGCATGATCAGGGGTAAGTACATAGAAAAGTAGTCATTGGAAAACAACGCACTTATTTATTCTACAGAAAATAAAAAATGTGCAAGAAAGGAAAAGTAATCATATACTATATGGTTCAAAATTGAATGACCTTTTTGTAGTTATAATTATGTAAGCACTGCACATTGATTTAATTAAATCAATTACAATAATATTGGATGTTTGGGGATGTGGAAAATATGTGGGAGGGCAAGCAATGAAAGAGAGCTAAGCTAAATCCTTATCTGCTATAGAAGAAGGTGGATAGATAATACCCATACTTGAAAAATTGCAGAAAAGTAGATGAAGATAAACATCAAAAGAAGAAGGTGGAAGAGTTAAAGTTGTCTTTGAGGGCGGGGGCAGAGAGCTGTAGTTGTTTTTTTTTTTATAATAATTCTTATAAAACTGCCACATTAAACAGTAGAATTATATCAATGATTTTTTTTTCTGGAAAGCACTGAATACTAAAATATTTTATACTTTGTGAGCCATGCAGTCTTGCAACTGTTCAGCTCTATAGTTATAGTACGGAGGAAGCTGAAAACAATACATAAGCAAGCATGAAACATCAATAATATGTTATTTGTAGACCATGAATTTTGAATTTCATATAATTTTCACGTCAGTATATTCTTTTTAAACATATAAAAGTACAAACCATTTTTAACTTTTAAGCCATACAAAAAGACACAGCAGGCTGGCTTTGGTCTGTGGGCCATAATTTGCCAACCTTTTCCTTAAGGCAATGTGAATATGTAACTTTGATGAAATAAATAATACAAGGAGGGGAGAAGAGTGAAAAAAATTGGTCAGAATAATTTCAAATTTGTTTCCAAATCTTGCCTGTTTTAAGACTTCTTGTTTTACCAGGAATTCTTTCTGAAGGACATGAGAAAGAAAATTAAGAAAGTACTTTTGTCAGTAGCCCCCTACTTTATAATTTTATAGTATTTCCTCATTTACCAAGCTTTTTCGTACATACTATCCCTTTGATCCTCACATTCTTGTAGTCTAAGTAGAATTGGGGTGTCTTTTCTATAGACCTAGATCCCTTTCTGTAGAGATCAAGTGACTTGCCCAAAATCATACACAGTTTATAAGGGACAAGTATTGAGACAAGAGCTTACTTCCAGTTTTTTCCTCCTGATTGCTTACTATACTATGTCTCAAATCATACAGTTTATAAGGGACTAGAATTGAGATGAGAACTCATTTCCTATTTTTTCCTCTTTGTTGCTTTGTATACAAATAATACATGAATATATCCTTGTAAAAGATTAAAACACTCCAAGAAAATATCATTAAAAAATCTTTGTCCTCCCTCACTCCCATCACAATCCCATCCCTCTCCTCATACACACTCAGAGTTAATAACTTGTAATATGTTTGCTGCTGTATGTTGTAAAAGAAAATAGTTCTATTAGTTAGGAATGAAAAATTACAACTCTTTTTTTGCCCCAGACTCTTAAATTCCTAGCAAAGTGTCATAAGAAAAAGAAACTGTTTGCTCCTTGGCAAGGACTTCAAGACCTCACTGATGCACGCAGAGTTAAACTGAAGCAACAAGTGGATGACTATCTCCAAAGACATCCGGTATGCAGGCTTCTGTGCATTGATAATCAGTGTTACTTTTTGCCAGTGCATGATATTCACCAACAAAGTAGTGTATTATATGTGTTTGTGCATTTTTTATTGGTAAAAGGTAATACAGTGGCTTTACCATAGAGTTAAGGAGTCTTATAATTACATGTGCCATCGTATAGTCAATAACGAAGGAGACTGCTTCAATTCAGTCATCTTGCATAGTGTATCAGCAAAACATGGTCATTGCTTTTTTTTTTTTTGCAATAGTGCATAAAACTATGTTGAAGCTTCCACAAAGAGTATATATAGCTTCCAGTCAGTAAATATTCGTTGTTAACATATATACCCAAACACATAATACATACATGTGGAAACTGACATCTGCTATTAATGAAACTCCAGGAGCCAATATTATAAAACAGTTGGCTGTTTGCCTCTTATGATTTTATTACTGTAATACTGCTAACACCTTTCTCCCAATAGAAATGTCCATATCTTTTACTTTCTGTAACCACAGTACTACATATCAGGTGTTATTTGCTTCTCCCTTCTGAGTTCTTGACCTTATACTCCTATATGTTTTTGAAGATCATTTTCCTTTCTGCTTTTAGAGTGATTCACCACCCTGTCATTAATTTTAATGACCTATACTTCTGCCAATCACGCTCACTTTCTCTTTTCTTGATGTTTCTCCCATACTTCCACACTTCACTAATTTTATGAGGAAAGTTGGGAGATTATACATTTCAGCCAATCAGAATGCTTATTGCCCTCACTCAAACTAATAACCACTCATGAAGGTATCACTTACATACTTTTCACATCTGTTTTCTTGTGCTTCCATCGTTTGTCTCTGGGTTCTGTTTCTCCCTCCTCTCTACCCCCTCCTCCCCACATACACACACGTTCTTCCTCCTTCTAAAATCTGAAGGTTCTGGGTGACTAATGTTAGAGGCTAAGAATAATGTTAGGTAGTCCTATCATTCACCCTTTCATTCTTCCAGAGCTCCCAAAACTAAAGAGCCTTATGCAAAAGAAAACAAAAAGAAACAAAATCTAAAAAAACAGAAAGACCATTATAAATAGGAATTAGAGGACTAACATGTTATAGCTGAGCATGTATCTGATAGATTACCACTGGAACAGAACATTGGTAAAAGCAGAATTCGACAGCAAGGCTCAGTTGAGGAGGCATAAGTAAGGACTCCTACTTTTCCTGCCTACTAATCTGAATTTAAGAATTCACAAACTAATGTAGGCCTGTGAAAAAAAAAGATGACAAGCCTGCCCTTGTATTTCTGGCCCTCTGTGGTTACCACATAGAGGTAGACAATAGAAAAAAGTTCTGACTTCTGCTTCTATCCAAGATTTAGGAACAGGGACAGAATTTACTTACTGCCCGAAACAACTGGCGGGGGGTGGGGTGGAGATAAAATACGTGAAACAATGGTTTTCAAGTCAGTGGGCATCAGACAGTGAAGGTTAGTAATTCCTGAGAGGGAAGATGGGGTAAAAGGGACTGGATTTACTTCCTGCCTGAAACAACGGGGGGGGGCGGGTAGAGATGAAATACATGATGAAATACATGAAACAATAGTTTCCAAGACCATGGACATCAAACAATAAAAATTAGTAATTCCTGAGAGGGACCAGAGTGAGCCATATGATGACCCTAGCTTATTACCCTGAGAGAGTTTCTAGGTCACAGCATAAGGAGGAGGAACAAAGGAGGAGCTCTTTGGAATTCCATGCTGAGGAGATGAAACTGAGAGTCTGAGGAGAACAAGGTAGCTAGATTTCATAGGACAGAGTACCGGAGTAAAAGGAGATACAAAGAGAACCCCAGATATCTGGAGAATGTTCCCTTGAGTATATTTCAGAATTCTGATTAGTACATGTATATAAGGAAACTACCCAAGGCCAAGGAAACAGTCATCTTAAAAGATAAAAGAGAACAGTGCCTGGTACTCAACACAGGTCCATAGTGCATGTTCCCATCAAACAGACTAGAAAAACTTAATCCACAGGGCATCGGTAAGAATACTCAGGAAGGTCTTGTCTTAGTAGTAGAAAGTAAATAGTATATACTGATGCATTCTGCCAAACAAATCATAAAAGCAAGAGCCAAAAATACCAAAAAAATTTTATGTAATTTAACCACATCTCAGAAAAAGCCTCAAGATTTTTAGAAATACCAAAATAACTAGCACTCAACAAGGTAAAAGTTACAATGTCTTGCATTCAAAGATTAATAAGCATATATAGAGGCAGGAAAACATGACCCATAATGAGGAGGACACTTAAACCACTCTAGAGATTACACAGATGTTAGAATTAGCAGAGAAGGACATTAAGAGTTATTATTATTAACTATATTCCATATGTTCAGATTTTAAGTGGAAATGTGGAAGATATAAAATATACCCAAATCAAACTTCTAGAGGTAAAAATTTCAATGTGTGATATGAAAAATGCACTAGATCATTAATAGCAGATGAGACATGGATGAATAAGATTAATGTAGTTGAAGGCATAGTAGTATATACTATGCAAAATGAGTCAAAAAAGAAAAAAAAATTTTTAATTGAAAAGAACGTTAGTGAGCTGTGAGTCTTCATGTGGCCTATTAAATGAATAATTGGGAGTTTCTGAAGAAGATAGGAAAGAAAGATAGAAAACATAATGGCCAAAAACTTTCCAAATTATAAATTTACCCCCAAGTCCAATGAAGGCACAGGCACATGGGGAAAAAAAAAAAAACCTATGCCAAGGCATATTATAATGGGATTCCTCGAATCAGTAATAAAGTAAAAATCTTAAAAACAGAAAACAAAAACATATAAAAACAGATGACATATTTCTCAGCAGGAACAATGCAAGTAAGAAGATAACTTTAAAGTAATTGAAAAAAAAAGCTGTCAATGTAGAATTCTTTACTATGAAAAATTATTTTAAAAACAAAGACAAAATAACTTTTTCAGACATACAAGTGATAAAGCACTTTGTCACCAGCATACTCACACTACCAGAAATGTTACAGCCTTCGAGTTGTAAAGTTACGATTTCTCTTAAAAATGGTACCACAAGAAGTCCAACTCTACATAAAGAAATTAAGAAGCACTGAAAATGGTAACTACATGGGTAAATATATGACTTTTAACTCATCATTTAAATCTTTATAAAATATAATTGATTTAAAAAATTTTTTTAATGTTTATTTATTTTTGAGAGACAGAGCATGAGTGAGGGAGGGGCAGAGAGAGAGGGAGACACAGAATCTGAAACAGGCTGCAGGCTCTGAGCTGTCAGTACAGAACCTGATGCGGGGTTCGAACCCACAAACTATGAGAAGTGGGATGCTCAACCGACTGAGCCACCCAGGCACCCCATAATTGATTTTTTTTAAAACCAAAATGTCATCAAATGTTCTATAATACATACTACAGATTAAATATTTCCAGTTTTGTAGACCATATAGCCTTTATCATCATTATGCATCTCTGCAGCTGTAGATTAAAGCAGTCTTAGATAATATATAAACAAATACTTGTGTTTCAGTTGAACTTCATTTTCAAAAATAGGCAGTTGATTATTTGAAACAAAAGTAATAGCAATGTTTAATGGTGTTTGTAACATATGTAAAAATATAATGCTTTGCAAAAATAGTATAAAAACCAGGAGAGAAATAGATGTATACTATTGAAAAGGTTTTATACTATATGTGAAGTGAGTGGATTGATAATTAAAGATGTATACTCTGAATCCTAAAGCTACCAATAAAGTTAAAGAACAAAAGAGTTATAGCTAATAAGCCTATAAAGGAGATGAAACAATTATAGTCGATTAATCAAAAAGAAAGCAGAAAAAGAGGAAAAATAAAAGAAAGTAATGGGAAAATGAAAAATAATAAAATGATAGACTCAAACATAACGGTATCAATAATTATAATAAATTTAAATGGTATGAATACCCCCAATTAATAAGCAGAGATTGTCAGATTAAATGAACAAGTATGACTTGATTACATGTTAACTACAAGAAACACACTTTAAGTATGAAAAAATAAAAAGAACAAAATGTGCAAACACTAGTGAAAGAAATCTAGAATGACTATATAAATATCACAGTAGATGTCAGAGCACTATTACTAGATTATTACCAGAAGTAAAGAAGGCAATTTCATAATAATAAAAGGGTCAATTAATCAAAAGGACATAAGAATCTAAATGTTTATGCACCTAATAACAGAACTTGAAACTATATGGAGACAACATAGATGAACTTTGAGGCATTATGCTAAGTGAAATAAGCCAAACAGAAAAGAACGAATGTTGTATGATTCTACTTAAATGAAGTACCTAGAATAGAGATGGGAAATAGAATGAATGGTGGTGTCCAGGAGTGGGGGATGGGAGAATGGGGACGTAGTGTTTAAATGGTACGGAATTTCAGTTTGGAAAGATGAAGAAGTTCTGGAGATGGACCCTGGTGATGGTTGTACAACAATGTGAATGTATTTAATGTCACTAAACTATACACTTAAAAAGTGGTTAACATGATAAATTATATATATATTTAGCCACAATAAAATACATGAATCAAAAACTGATAGAACTATGATGAAAAGTAGAGAAAGTCACAATGTAGAGATTTCAATACCCATTTCTAAACAACTTACAGGATAAATAGGCAGAAAAGCAGCAAGAATATAGTAGACTTGAATGACACTATCAGACAACTTGATCTGGTTGACATTTTTAGAACCCTCCATGGAATGACAGCAGAATACACATTTTTCTCCTGTACACACAGAATATTTACCAAGATAGACCATGTTCAGTGGCATAAAACAATCAGTAAATTGAAAAAGACTGAAGTCATACAAAGTATGTTCTCTGACCACAATGAAATTGTTTGAAATTTAAGAACAGAAAGATCTCTAGATATATCATCCCCAAATATTTGGAAACTAAACAACACATGTCTGAATAACCAAAGGATCAAAGAAGAAGTAAAAAGGGAAATTAAAAAATATTTCAAACTGAATGGAAGCATATTTCAGAACTTGCTGATGAATGGATAAGGAAAATGTGTGTGTATATATATCTAGATAGATAGATAGATAGATAGATAGATAGATAGATAGATATAGATATAGATATACACACAATGGAATAGTACTCAATGATGAAAAAGAATGAAATCTTGCCATTTGCAACAATGTGGATAAAACTAGAGGGCATTATGCTATGTGAAATAAGTCAGAGAAAGACAGAGATAATATGATTTCACTTATACATGGAATTTGAGAAACTCAACAGATGATCATAGGAGAAGGGAAGGAAAAATAAGATAAAAAACAGGGAAGCAAACCATAAGAGACTCTTAAATACAGAGAACAAACAGGGCTGCTGGAGGGCAGGTGGGTGGAGGGATGAGTTAAATGGGTGATGAGCATTAAGGAGGGCACTTTTTGGGATGAGCACTGGGTGTTATATGTAAGAGATGAATCACTGGGTTCTACTTCTGACTAGAACTACTCTGTATGTTAACTAGCTTGAATTTAAATTGAAACTAACTAACTAACTAACTAACTAACTAACTAACTAACTAAATAAATAAATAAATAAATAAATAAAAATTGAACTTGCGGATTCTAAACCAGTATTTGGAGGGAAATTTATATTGCTGACCATCTATATTAAAAGAAGGTTCAAATCAAAGACCTCAGCTTACATATTAAGTAACTAGTAAAAGGACAAGTTAAACCCAAAGTAAATAGAAGAAAGGAAATAATAAACATTTGAGAGAAATCAATAAAATAGAAAACAAAGACAATAGAAAAAATTTAATAAAACAAAAAGCCAGTTATTTGAGAGGATCAATAAAACTGATAAACTTGTAGGCAGACTAATCAGGAAAAAGAGGAGATACAGATTACCACTGTCAGGGATAAGAAAGGTGACCTCATTGTAGATACTACAGATATTAAAGGATAATGGAATATTATGAACAACTTCATATGTCAATAAATTTGATTAATCTCATGAAATAAATTCCTTTAAAGATAAGAATTACAAAGCTTACCCAAGAAGAAAGAGATAAAATGAATAGCCCCTGTATCTATATATATAGGTAACAAATTGTAGTTAAAAACTTTCCTCAGGAAAAAGTTGAGGGAAAGATTGGTTTTACTGGTGAATTTAAGGAGGAAATAGTGCAAATTCTATATAAAGTCTTCTACCAAACTGAAGGGGAGGCAATACTTCTCAGCTCATTTTATAAGACCAGCATTACTCTGACACCATAACCAGAGACATTACAAGCAAAGAACTTCAGAACAATATTTTTCATGCATACATGAAAAAATTCTAAACAAAATTATAAGAAGTTGAATTCAACAATCTATTGAAAGGTTAATACATCCTGGGATTATCTCAGGGATTCGGGGTTAATTTAACCTTTGAAAATCAATTAAAGTAATTCACCATATTAACAGACCAGGAAAAACAATTGTCATCATATAAATACATGCAAAAAAAATTTCAGCAAAGTAGGAATAGAAAGAAACTTCCTCCATCTGATGAAGAATATCTACAGCTGACAATGATGAAAGACTGGATGCTTCTTTCCTGAAATCAGGAACAAGACAGAATGTCATTCAGTACAATCAAAATCCCAGCAGGCTTTTTTTTGTAGAAATTGACAAGCTGATTCTAAAATTCATATGGAAATGCAAAGGACCTAGAAAGGCTAAAATAACTACAAAAAAGAACAAAGTTGGAGGTTTAACACTACCTGATTTCATGAACTATAGAGCTGTAGTAGCCAAAACTGTGGTACTGATATAAAGATTTTAAAAAAATAAATCAGTGGAACCAAAATCAAATCCAAAAATAAACCCACATATATGGCCGCCTGATTACTGACAGAGGTGCACAGTTAATGTGTGGAGAAACTGGAACAATTGGATATCCATATGTAAAAAACATGAACTTGGATCCATATACTGTATGATATATAAAACTTAAAATGGATCATAGACTTAAATGCAAAATCTAAAATTATATAAAACTTCTAGAAGAAAACATTAGAGAAAAGCCATACTTTTGGTTGGGCAGTAATTTCTTAAATACAACAACAATAGCATAATCTACAAAAGAAAAATTGATAAATTGGTTTTCATCAAAATTTTGAACTTCTGTTCTTCGAAAGACACAATAATAGAATTTTTTTTAAAAAAGCAAATATTGGGAAAATATCTTTGCCAAGTATGTATCTGGTAAAGGACTTGTATCCAGAGTGTAAACTCAACAATAAGAAAACAAAGCAAAGCAATTTTTTTAAATAGGCAAAAGATTTTAACAGACACTTCACCCAAAGAAATTGTGGCAAATACATGAAATATTGACATAAGTCAATAAAGGAAATACAAATTTAAACCATAATAAGATCTTTACACAACTGTTAAAATGTCTAGAACTTTAAAAGTTGACTATGTCAAAGTTTGGCAAGCATGTGAAGGAACTGTAGCTCTCTCATACACTGCTGATGGGAATGCAAAATAGTGCAACCCCTTTGGAAACAGTTTGGCAGTTTCTTAAAAAGTTAAACGTATATCCATCATATGATTCAGTGATCCCACTCTGAAGTATTTATCCAAGTGGAAAGGAAATATATATCCATACAAGCATTTGTAAATGAATGCTCATAGCCCAAAACTAGAAATAACCCAAGCATCCATCAACAGATAGATAAACAAGTTGCTCTATATCCATACAATGGAATACCAGTCCACAGTATAAAGGAATGAATTATAGATACACACAGCAACATAGATGAATCTCAAAATAATTATGCTATGTGAAAGAAGCCAGACAATATACATTGAATTACCCCATTTATATAAATTTTAAAAATGTAATCTCTAGAGTAACAAAATTAAGTCAGTGGTTACTTGGGGATGGGAAAGTAGGGAATGAAGGATTACAAAAAGGCAATGACACTTCTGGTGGTGATGGATGTTCATTATCCTGAGTGTGGTAATGGTTTTCACAGATGTATACATAGATCAAAGCTTACCAAATTTGGGGCACTTGGGTGGCTCAGCCTGTTGAGCATCCAACTCTTGGTTTCAGCTTGGGTCATAGTCTCATGGTGTTGTGGGTTTGAGCCCCGCATTGGCTCTGCGCTCGTAGCACAGATCCTGCTTGGGTTTCTGTCTCTCCTTCTCTCTTCCCCTCTCCTACTTGTGCTGTCTCTGTGTCTCAAAATAAATAAATAAACTTAAAAAATTTTTTAAAAACCTTACCAAATTGTACACTTTTGATAATTGTAGTTAATTGTATGTCACTTTTACCTCAATAAAGCTGTATGTTTAAAAAAAAAAATTAACCTAAATGCAAAAGAAAAGAAAAGCAAACCTTTTCTTTTAAAAGGGAGAGTAATCCCTTTATAAAAATAACATACCCAAGCAACACATACACAGCAAGTAATTCTGAATCAGTAGGTTTGGTGTGTCCTCATGGTTCTATTTTTTAATTAATTTATTTTAATTGTAAAATATATAAAACATAAAAATACCAAACGTAAAATTACCATTTTAATCATTTTTAAGTGTACAGCTCAGTGGAATTAAATACATTTACATTGTTGTGCAACTATCACCACCATTCACCTTCAAAATGTTTTTCATTTTGCAAAACTGAAATTATACCCATTAAACACAAATTTCATATTCTGTCTCTCAGCTCTGTTCATAGCATCCTTTGATGCACAGAAATTCTTAATTTTGATGGAGGTTCAACTTGTCTGTCTTTTGTTGTGTCTGTGTCTTCAGTGTCATATTCAAGAAATGGCCAAACCTGATGTCATGATTTTTCCCCTTTTATTCTGAGAGTTTTATAATTTTCTCTCTTATATTTAGGTTTTTGATCTCTCTCTCTCTCTCTTTTAATGCATTTTGTATGATGTTGATGCATGCTCTCATTTAAAAAACAAGTATTACTTCAGCCATACTCTCGTGCTCCTGTTTAAGATTCTGTGGCTGAAAAGTAAAGTGTTAGCTGGAGTGGGACTGTATCCCAGATCCAGGAACTGGAATATTTGAGCAAGCTGTGGTGTCAGAAGCTTGATCGGCTTCAGAGTTAAGATTTTCTTATTCTTGTCCAAACTAATTAAGTTCTCTTTAAAGTAGCTGTGTAGCCAAAGGAATATGGTCCTTTAGCTGATTTTTTTCCCTTGTTTTGTGAAACCAGAAGCAGTTATAACATTATGGTTTAGATAAGTTTGGGAGTGGGAGTGAGATAAAAAGCCTGTCAGGTGGGATCTGGAACAGGGGTTGGGCTTATTATTCCTCTTCCAGGCCAGTATCTTTACCGAACCATTTGTAGTTTTCACTAAGGGCTCTTAATCTTTCCTCTTCTCCCAAAATTCTACAGTATGTGAGGAAGTGAGGTATGGGAATATACCAGAAAGAAACTATCCTCTGAATTTTCATAAAGCTGCTTTTAAAAACCTACTTAATGCTTGAACAAGAGTACAAGGTCGAAATCAATCATGAGATTCATTTGATAGGCTGAGATAGCTAAGCATTCCGGAACCTCTGCTAAGTGGTTGGGTGAAACATGTCTCCTGTAATAATTTTTTCTCTTCTTTTTTCCCAGAGCTCTCAGATGTCAGATGTGACTAGCAGAGAGCTCCATTCCCAAGCTCAAGAACAACTGCAACACTACCTTATGGGCAGGGTCCTAGAAGAGAGAGCCCAGCAGCACAGGGAGGCTCTGATGGCTCAGATCAACACCAACATTGAACAATTAATGAGTATGTGCTTGTTTATTTTGGTATCCTAAAATGAACAACCTATGCAAGATTTTGTGACATTGAAAATCTTCAGAAGGAAAATACCATTTAATGTTTATTAGCCTATTTCTTGTCCTCAGAAATTTCTAGATCCAGAACATGCCAGCACATGATTTTTTCAAATAATGCAGATCTCATAACCTCCTTTTTGGCTATTTCTCTAAGCCTTGCTATCATTCATAGATATCAACTTAGACAAAAGTTATTAATTATAAAGATGCTAAGCCCTACTAGCCAAATTTCATTATGTAGTCTCAAAAGCTTTTGATAATATTTTAGAAGTAGATGACAGTAGTTACAGTGCCATTTTATAATTTTTTTTAACGTTTATTTTTGAGAGAGAAACAGAGTGTGAGCAGGGGAGGAGCAGAGAGAGAGGGAGACACAGAATCCAAAGCAGGCTCCAGGCTCTGAGCTGTCATCATAGAGCCTGATGCGGGGCTCGAACTCATGAACTGCTAGATCCTGACCTGAGCCAAAGTCAGACACTTAACCGACTGAGACACCCAGGAGCCCCCATTTTACAATTTTTAATGAAGTGTTTTCACAAAAGTTAATTCATTTGCTTTTTACAACCATAGATACATTTAGGGAGAGATCTCATCCTACATTTCAGTCCACCTATGAAACACTTTTAGTGTGTACGGAGCAGAAAGGACCAGGGTCTTCTGTTTAGTGCCATTACTTGTGAATTTTTTATTTTTCAATAGATGGGTGGCTGGAACTGAGCCTCTCATATATAGGATGGGGTTCTGCTATATTTTAAAAATTCATGTTCTTTAAACCATCTAAAAAAACCTACATCTTTTTAAATTCTTTTCTTTTACACAGTATGGGGGGTGGGTAGTTAATGCCAGCCACAGCTTCAACTTATGAATAGTCATATGCCATCTATAGCTAGCAATGATAATAGATTCAGAATTGGATAATAGATTCAGTAGGCAGTATCCCTTGCCTACTATAGCAGAGTTCCAACTCTATACTTTCCAAATTCCTACTTGTTTGATACATAACTCTTCTACTCACCTGTTTATTTTCTGTTTACTACAGAGGCACCAAGTCTGAAGGAAGCAGAAGGGAAGGAACCTGAGCTCTTCCTAAGTAGATCCAGGCCTGTGGCAGCCAAGGCCAAGCAGGCCCATCTTACCGCTCTGAAGCATTTACAGGCACCCTGGTGGAAGAATCTTGGGGAAGAAGAAGGAGATGAGATTGATGTCCCAAAGGATGAGCTCAGTGTAGAATTAGGAACTTTATTCATTGGTGGAACCAAACCCCCTTAGGGAGGTACCCAAAGAAATGACACTTATTTCAGGAGATTGTATTGGTTCTGCCTCTGGCATACTAGTAGACTAGAGCTATCCTAACTCATTTCCCGAAATTCCTCTCCAGATAAGATTTTCAGGCAGTAAGCAAGGAGTTACCTTCTACCTCTATCTCAGTTCTCTTTTTTTTTTTCCACATTACCCACACCACACACAAATTAGGATGGCTTTTATTGTGGAACTAACCTCAGCATGGCATTCTATTGCTTAGATGAAATGTGGTAGTTCTTTTGTTTTTGCTGTTTTCCTACTAAACATGTTTTCTAAATAAATATTTTCAACAATTCTCAAAAACTTGTCAGGATTACTTCAACTTTTCACACTTATTGTTTAGAATGCATGTGTTTCTACGAATATAAAAAGTATGTTCTTGGCCTAATTTATTAAGATCAGGAAAAGAAATGGTCATTTGAAGGGCACCACACTATTTTCTACCAAACAGTGCTTGAACTCATTTTCTATCTTGTTATTTCTAAAAGAACTACATTTAAAAAAAAAATCCTAAGAAGGGTGCCTGGGTAGCTCAGTCGGTTGAGCATCTGACTTCAGCTCAGGTCATGATCTCATGGCTTGTGAGTTTGAGCCCCATGTCAGGCTCTGTGCTGACAACTCAGAGCCTGGAGCCTGCTTCAGATTCTGTGTCTCCCTCTCTCTCTGCCCCTCTGCCACTCACGCTCTGTCAGTCTCAAAAAGAAGTAAACATTAAAAAAAATTTTTTTAATCCTAGGATTCAGCACAAAAAAAATTCCTTCAGATAAATGCATTTGTTCTGTTAAACTGTGAGAATTCTATAACTTACTGTTTCCCTTTGTCTTATCTCCTATAAATCTCAGCTAAATATAATACTTACACTGTGTTATGATCCTAGGTACCTATAGAGTTATTTGGTTGCAACCTAATACTTTCTAATTTTCCTATTTATCTTTGATTGTGTTTTAGTACCAGAAGCTACTTCTGTTTGTGTTTGTAACAATATAGAATTTAAATTAAAAACATTTAACAAATCATGGACTCAATATCATGAGGAACCTGTATGATGCTTTTTGTATAAATGAGTGAAAATACCATTATTTCTGGATAGGAAGACCAAAGAGTATAATGTCCATTCCTCCAACATTAAGTTTAGTAAAATTCTAGTCACTATCCTAATGTAATTTTTATTCATAATTGGGAAAGAAATGTACATAATTCATCTGTAATAATCAGTTGAAAGTTCTGATTTCACTTAGAATGTAGAAAGCTAGGTGAAAATGTTGCTCCCCTGTTAAAAATGCCAGATAATCTACAAAAATAATTTTTCTTGAGCCTATCTGATAGTTGAGGCCTCAAGACAACCAAGTAAATAGAGATGTGACTCAATATCTGTGAAATGAGCTATTTCATCTTTAGCAGAGCACAGGAGACAAAGGTAGCTGGATAAGAAGAAATCAACTAAAATTTTTACAAATTCTTAAAGACCAAGTATGGGGTAGCATGTCAGTTTAGAATATCTAGGAGCCTCAGTGGGGAGAATTTAGAACTTCCATCTAAAAACAGGCAAGGTTGGGAGCAGGACAGCAGGCCTGAAGAGATGCCTTTTGTGATGCATGCAAACATGTGATAGGCTGCTGCTGAGTGCGATGCCCAAATCCCTGCCTGCTTTCCCAAACCCTTTTCTTAAAAGCTTTAGGCTGCTAGAGCAGGGGTAGCAAGGCTCAGAGAAAATCCTACTACATGTAAGAAAGAAATAGAAATAAAAACTGTCTCTGGAGGCAGGATAGGAAACACTAGCTCCAGATACTGGTACAGATACAGTATTGCTGAGGGAGGGACAGAAACAAAATCCCTCTCTTGAGAGAGGAAATCATCTTAGCCCCAGAAATCCTACACAACACAAGGCAGATGTCTCCTAATGCTGGGGGGGGGGGGGGGGGGGGGGGTTAGAAAACTGCCTGCCAAAGCTAATGACTGCCAAAGAATAGAAGGATAGGAACCCTGAGAAAGTCCTACCTCCAATCACAGGAGAAGAGACCTGGCCTAAGACTTAGGCCAGATCAGGGCAACACAATACCCATGTCCCAGCAACTAGCCTAGCACCAAGTAATAAGCAATGGCACTTTATTACTGGCATGGAGAGAAACCTCCTCTGTGGTAAAGGCAAAAGGGACAGCTGAAAGTGGAGGGTGGAACTGGAGCACTGAAAAACCTTCAAGCTTCCCAGACCCCACTGTAAGCAGGTAACAGCAGCAAAAAAATAATTTGAAGTCCATGGTGCATTGAAGATAAAAAGGAAAACCAAACCCAGCTAAAGTCCTGACTAGTGAGTCAACCCCACTGCAATCTAATTCTTATATTTTAAATTCTTATTCTGATTTATAATGCTTTTGTGTTTAGTATATTGATGTAACAAAACAATTCTGCATTACTCAGTGAAAAAAAAATCTAATACATGTGAGAAAGTGATTTTACCAATCATCAATTTAGATGTCACAATTTAATTTTGTTGGATGACTTGCTTACCCTGTGAGAGTTCGTCTTCTATAGAATATAAAGTACTGAAGAGGGTTTAATACAAATATGAGAAACACAGTTGTTAATATTAGATCCTTATGCATGTAGAGAATGCCTAGAAACGGAAAATTCTGTAGTTAACAAAGTCTGTAGAAAAGCCATTCCCTATTACGTTTTTCTTTTTAGGAATATCCATGTCCATTTAGGTCAGTTTCAAATTATGTCAAAGAGAATCCAAACACACAATTGCTAGACTTAACTTTAATGATTACATTTTGAAGATTCCCCCCCCAGCTTTATTAGGTATGATTGACAAAATTGTATATATTTGAAATGTATAATGATGTGAAATGATAATCACAATCAGGTTAAGTAACACATCCATCACCCCACATATTTACCTTTATTTCTATGCGGTGTCAATACTTAAGATTTGCTTTCAGCAAATTTCAAGTATAAATTACAGTATTATTAACTATAGTCACCAAGCTGTGGATTAGATCCCAGGAACTTATTCATCTTATAACTGAAAGTTAGTGCCATTTGAGCAGCATCTCCATTTCTCTCACCTCCCAGCCTCTGGTGTCCACCATTTTACTCTCTGTTTCTATGAGTTTGACGTGTTTTTTTTGTTTTTGTTTTTTTTTGTTTTTGTTTTTGTTTTTGTTTTTTCAGATTCCACATATGTATGAAAATCATATAGTACTTGTTTCTCTCTATCTGGCTTATTTCATATAGAATAATGTCCTCCGGTTTCATCCATGCTATGGTAAATGGTAGGATTTCCTTCTTCCTCGTGGCTGAATAATATTCTGTTGCATACATCTTTTTTTTAAAAAATGTTTATTTATTTTCAAAGAGAGAAGGAAGAAGAGAGGGAGAGAGAGAATCCCAAGCAGGCTCTACACAGTCCACACAGAGCCCAATGCAGGGCTTGAACTCATGAACCATGAGATCGTGCCCTGAGCCAAAATCAAGAGATGGACACTTAACCAACCAAGCCACCCATGCGCCCCTCATTTATTTATTTATTTATTTATTTAAATTCAAGTTAGTTAACATACAGTATAAGACTGGTTTCAGGAGTAGAATTTAGTGGTCCATCTCTTACATATAACACCCAGTCCTCATCCCAACAAGTGCCCTTCTTAATGCCCAATACCCATTTAGCCCATCCCCCCACCTCTACTCCAGCAACAGTCTGTCCTCTGTATTTAAGAGTCTCTCATGGTTTTACTGCCTCTAGTTTTTATCTTGATTTTCCTCCTTCCTTTCCCCTATGTTCATCTATTTTGTTTCTTAAATTCCACATATGAGTAAAATCATATGATATGTGTCTTTCTCTGACTGACTTATTTTGCTTAAACGTTGTTGCAAATGGCAATATTTAATTCTTTGGAATCGTAATATTCCAATTGTATATGTATACACATATACTTCCCAACAACATTTTTTGTATCCTTTGGATAAATACCTAATAGTCCAATTGCTGGGTCATAGGGTATCTCTGTTTTTAATTTTTTGAGGTAACTCCATACTGTTCGAGTGGCTACAGCAGTTTGCATTCCCACCAACAGTGCAAAAGGGCTCTGGTGCTCCCCTTTTTCTACATCCTCACCAACATCTGTTGTTCCCTGAGTTGTTAATTTTAATTTTTTTTTCAACGTTTTTATTTATTTTTGGGACAGAGAGAGACAGAGCATGAACGGGGGAGGGGCAGAGAGAGAGGGAGACACAGAATCGGAAACAGGCTCCAGGCTCTGAGCCATCAGCCCAGAGCCTGACGTGGGGCTCGAACTCACGGACCGCGAGATCGTGACCTGGCTGAAGTCGGACGCTTAACCGACTGCGCCACCCAGGCGCCCCCTGAGTTGTTAATTTTAGCCATTCTGATGGGTGAGGTGGTATCTCATTGTAGTTTTGATTTGTATTTTCTGATGATGGGTGATGTTAGTCATGTGTCTGTTAGTCATGTGTCTGTTAGTGATATTTCATGTGTTTGTTAGCCATCTGGATGTCTTCTTTGGAAAAGTGTCTATTCATGTCTTCTGCCCATATCTTTACTGGATTATTTGTTTTTTGGGTGTTGAGTTTGTAGGTTCTTTAGAGATTTTGGATACTAATCATTTATCAGATATGTAATTTGCAAATATCTTCTCCCATTCTATTGGCTTCCTTTTAGTTTTGTTGATTGTTTCCTTTGCTGTGCAGAACATTTTTATCTTGATAAGGTCCCAATAGTTCATTTTTGCTTTTATTTCCCTGCCTCCGGAGAAATGTCTAGTAAGAAGTTGCTGTGGCCAAGGTCAAAGAGGTTGCCTGTTTTCTACTCTAGGATTTTGTTGGTTTCCTATCTATCATTTAGGTCTTCCATCCATTTTGAATTTATTTTTGTGTATGATGTAACAAAGTGGTCTAGTTTTTCTTCTGCATGTCACACTGTCCAGTTTTCCCAACACCTTTTCCTG